TCATAATCATGTTATAGTGTGTTACTGTAAAATAAATATATATAATTTAAATTTATATATATGAACATGTACTGGGGTCAATATTAAATAAATATATTTTAATATCCTGTATAGTCGCTATATGTAACTTTATATATATAATATAAATTAAATAAATAAATGCAAGAAATAAACTTTATATACAATAATGTTTATAGTAATAATTACAATTAAAATATTTTATAGAGAATGATATATACATAATTAAATTATATAAAACGTACTAAATATCAGAAGTCGTAAATATAATATATGTATAAAAAGTCTGTTTAAAATTATTTGAAATATATTATTTCACATAGTTTTTTGAACGCATATAAACGAAAATAAATAAAATCACACTCATTTTGAATAAATAAGATATTTTGTCAAAAATTAACTTTCATTATAAATTCTAAAGAAAAACTGCGAATCTATAAAAATCTTTATAACTTGCCAAATTTTTATGATATAAAGGATCAATAAACTTTGAGCAATAAATCAAGATGCAAAAACTTATACACAAGCGTCAGCATTTATTTTGCATTTTGAACATTAAAATCTGTACAAAATAATCTACAAGCTTTCATGAGTTTATATGAAGTATTGTAAATATCTCATACTTAAATGATTAATATTTACTCTACGGCTGTGTTTTACTTGAACAATGTAAGTGGCATTTTAATTAGCAAATACGCTTCACTGCACCAGAAACTCCACCAGAAATGCACGACTACGAGAGAGAAGGTTGGTACCCTGTGCGCAAATGTGCCATTGAGCTTGAATCTCACGTGCGCCCAAAGCAATTTACGAGTAATTTGGTGTATGGAAGATTTTATACCGTAAGTTGTGGTAGCAAGTGCATGAAACAAAGAGATTTGTTTTATTTATTTATTTTTACATTTATTTTACATTTACAGATACAGTCGGACATCCACTGTCTGGCTTAAATGCAACAGAACAATAGAGGTTAGTCATAATTGTTTATGATAATGCCAGTGGTGATAAAAAATTCAATAATTGCAAGTGAATATATTACCTTATTTCATACCTCAATAATTTATAGAATCATTCCTTAATATAAATTCATAGAATCATTCATTAATATAAATTATTATTTAAACTTTAAGACCCTTTACGTTTTGATTTTGATTTGTTCATTTTTTACATAAAAGATCTAAGAATAATTTCATTGCAGAATGGAGGAGAAAGGAAAAATATGGTTGAAGAAAGGAAAAATATGGTTGGAGAAAGGAAAGAAAATTTAGATATATCCATTCTATTGTACTAAACAAGAGGGTTTTGTTTTAACTTTTCATTTTTTTATTGAATTTTTGATATTCTACAAGGAAACCATCTTAATTAGTTATAGTGAAACAGATGTGATTTTTTCTATTTCGAATAACTAACTGCTGAAATGTACTACTGGGCGAGGGTATACGATTTCTAATTATGTTTGGGCTGAACAAGTGGTGCTGGTATGAAATATATACAAAAATATGTTTTTTCAATATATTTTTAATTAAATTTCTTTCAAACAACAAAATTATGATAATTGAAAGCATTCAATATGAAATTCAATGAATTTTATTGAATAAATTTCATTTTTATGAAAATAAAAATGCTACAATGCTTCTAAATAAAATTCGGTTTACGTATATACATGGGATTTCATTAAAAGATTAATAAAATGCAAATAAAATCATCAACATTAATTTATAAGCCCACTCCTTATCAAAAAGTGGGTGCACTTGTGGATATTCTTTTGTTTCTATGATATACCACTTCAAAAAAGACACAGCTCCTACTTTAAGTTAATATGATTCGAATATGAATATGTTCAATATAAATTACGCTATAGTCAGTAAACTAAGATTACATATATACATGATATAACACACAAATAAAGTGCTAATTATTAGCAAAATGAATAAAAGAAAAAATCAAAGTGCCAACTAACAGCATTAAAGAATGAGGAACAAAAATATAAAAAATAATATAGAAAAATAATATATAAAAATAATATAAAAATAAAAAATAATATAGAAAAAATGAAAGTGGCAGACTAATTTCTGTAGAAGTATAGATATAAATTTTTATTAAAAATAAAAAAAATGTTATTGTTATTTTTCTTATTATCTTATTAGTGCTATTTTTGATTTGACTGATTAATTTGTAGAAACAAAAGTTCAGACACCATGGCTCGATAGTGTTCGCCATTCACCGTAACTACAGCTTTTTCTTCATTTCGAAAGAAATAAGGACCGATGATGATGCAAGTGTGTAAAATCACACCAAACACTCAATTTTAATGGATGTAATGGTGATTCAATAATGGCTTAAGGATTATCTTATGGACGTAGCCATTTAAACAGAAATGAGGTTCATTACTAAACACAATTCCTCGACGAAGTGCTCTACGAAATTTGGGAACAGATTAATTTTTAAAGAATATTACCACAATTTGGAAGCGTTAATCTAGCGTTGAACGATTCATAATAAATTACCAAACCTTTCTGAACAGAAATGTCAACATAGTTAAACATTCTCAGCTGTCAAACCATATTTATGGATACCCCATGCAGCTAAAAAAGAATCGATATAATAAAAAATTTAATATATATATACATAGATATCGATAACTACATATAACATAAACATAAATATATTCGTCATAAGATTTTTTATTTTTTACTTAACAATAAATGTATAAATTATACATTTTCAAAGCACTTCCATCACATGGTATTTTTTCCAGAATTTCATGTTACATCTGGATAAAGCCTTTAACAAGAAGAGCCATTTGTAAAGGAAGTTCGTCTGATTTGCTTAAACACTGTGTAAGCTTTCGAAGCGATGGTGCGGGTCGTTTTATGTTCATAATAATTTTCTGTACTTGAAGCATCACTAAGCACGCACATTTGCTTTACAAACAAAGGCAGAGTTGTGGAAAGAAGGGTTATTTGGATGGTTCAGTAATGCTTATTAGTTTATTTTATAAAATTTGACGATATTAATTTTGACTATATGTAGTAAATCTTACATATATATCAAGACTGAAATTATAAAGCTATATTGTTTTGTTAAGTTGTCAAGTTATTCTCATACGATTCTAGATACTCACACTTCAAGCTAGTGGTATAGAGTCCATATAATTTTTGTGTATACTGTTACCTGAGAGAAATACGGGCAAACTTGAGAGAAAAATACTATGCAGTCCCAATTTTTTAATTGAATGCACTCTAACTTACTACTCTAACTTTACTACTTACTCTTACAGCTAAATATTTAAGGTTGCATTCTAACCATAAATTCGGCAAATTAAATGCATAAAAAAGCTCTGCTCCGGCTGAAGCTTTCGTCAAATGGGTCAGCACACAACGATAAACTACAACAACTTATGAGCTACATATCAAAATTGTAGGGATGAATGATGAATCTTCTGTATAACATTTCATGATTTGGAAAGTTTTGATAAGTCCTTGTAGCAAAGCTGCAATGTTTCATAAAATTTTCAGAGGGAGTTTTAAACAATTTTTAACTATGCGAAAACAATTATTTGATCCGGTTTCAATTTGCGAAATTAATTCAGTATAACCAGGCACATTTTTTTTTGTTTGCAGTAAGGAATGTAAAACCCATGGACCATCAGTACCAATGTCATCAGTGTCATGATACCAATGTGCCAGACTATTACCGCTTTAAACACAATATCTCTTCATTAGAGAGAACTATCTGGGACCACTTTTTTACTACTTCGGAAAGGTTCCTATTTTTTTTGGCTTCTTGCCATCTTCTTTGTTTGTTAATATCTTGCGTTCAGACTGTATCGAGAAATATCTTCTTGGTTCTTAGCACATGCTCAGCAAATCTCGGTACAGCGTTCCAATTATCTGCGCTTTGTAGCATTTTATTTATAATATTTTTTGCAGTGCATCATCCGGCATTACATTCGAGCGGACATCTTTCATTGTGTCACTGCGAGCAGTGGAAAAACGTATGGTTGGTATCGTCTTCGTCAGCATCGTTGAATAAAGAACTGGTAGCTGTTGCCTTTCACATTCCATGGAGGTATATACGAAGTAGTATATCCAGGCACATTGACTATCATAAAAAATTGAGCATACTTAACAACATTACTGAACAATGTGTATAATGTGTCTTGAATACCGAAAAATCTTTCCATGTGCAAAGAAATAACGTCTTATTTTATCAACATTGAAGTTTAAGAAGTTAGGAACAGACAAAAATTATCAAAAACAAAAAATTTATAAATATTTAATGATAAAAGTATTAGTATAAAATACTATTTTTATATATTTTATACGAATTCCTTCTCGAACGCAAACTCTAAAAATTTTTTGATTTGTTTCGGACTTTTGCAGTGTTCGTTAAGAGTTTTTTAACAAAAATGCAAAACAGTACACTATGTTTGGTAGTTTAGTGTTTGTTTTTGCTTACTGGTGTTAAAGATGTATTAAAGATGTCAAATGTATTAAAGGTGTTAACGAATTATAGTCCAAACGAATTATATACGGACTATAAACTAATTAAAAAATTCGAAATTTTCTATGACGAGTACTGACGATGAGTACATGGCACTACTCGAAACAGCGTTGTATGAGTAGCCAAATTTCTTTGCTCTTCAAAACCCTCGAACCCTCTAAATTTAAAAAAAAATAGCTTCTTTGGCAAAAATAATTAAACTTTAAAAACAATATTGATATTAATATTCGTAATAACAAAAACAATGTAATATATTACAATATTCCTGACGTGAGCAATTAGAATGACGCATAATTCCCCTTAAACCTTTCTAAAAAACTTTCCTGACGCCACTGTGCCTGTGTATTCTTTCTTCTTTCATTTCTCTTGCATTACTATTTTAGCTTTTTTTTCTACTTCTGTTACATATCTACTTTTTCTTTCATTTTTTCATGACTTTTTCCGAAACTCGGTTTAAATGCTTTGGCCGAGAGATTTTGGGCTCACTTGTGTAATATTCGGCACGCGTGAAAGTTGTGCGCTTCCCAGAAATAATTTCAGTGCTTCTTCAGATTGGAGTCAGACTGTGCAGGAAATAGTGTTCTTTGCTTAGTTCTTTGTTGCTGGAGTCAGTGTTTGAAGTTGTGGCGGTGTGAGTCTTCAAAGAATTTTATTTTAATTCTTTCGCATTGGAAAGCAACGCTGCCGTGACCCAATTTAGGTTTTAAAATATTTAAAGAATTCATTTTGCTATACGAATGAATTTATTTAAATATTTTAAATTAAAGGCTATTACTTTGTGTTAAAGTGAAAATTTTTATTTACTTATTAATTTTTATATAGTTAAGTAAAATTCGTTACTTTCGCTTAAATTATTGAATTTATTTAAAAATCACAAAGAAAAAACTCATTTGTGTGCTGTGTAATTTGAAGTCGAGAAGTGCTAATTTTCTAAGAAAAACGTCAGACGCTTTTACTTTTAAAGTCTACCGAAAAATCATATAAATTCAAAAAAAAAAAAATGCTTCAATTGGCTTTGTTTCTATTATTGACTGTGGTCGGCAGTATTTTCGCAGAACAACGTAAGTATTATTAGATATTGAAATCTTATCTAAATTTAACACTGATATTCAACATATAAACATTTTGCTTTATGTCAGCATAGTTATTCATAAATAAATAAATATAATAAATGTAATATATATAAATAATCGAACATATATTTTTAAGTGATTAGTTACAAAAATTTGCTTAAGGATGTACATTTTATTTCTATTAATTAGTATAATTATTATATAAGTATAATTATTTATAAATAAATAAATATAATATAAATAATCGAACATATACTTTTAAGCCATTACATAAAAAATTTCTTAAGGATGTACATATTATTTCTATTAAAATAGTTTTATCTTAGAAAAAAATGTTACTACTAAATTTTTCGTTGAAGTACTTATATATACAATTAAATTTTATTCCATCCGGGACCAGATAATTTGACCTACATTACACCGGAAAAAGTTGCACCAGCAAAATATCTGGAACACGTTAATATCCCTTTCCCCTTAAATTCAATTTATACCAAGCTCGTTATATTTATAGGATTTATAGGTTATAGGTTTTTATAGGAAGTAGCAAACTGCAAATTACTCAGAGTTTTGCAAATTGCAAATCACCTGCAAGAGGTCAGTTTGTTTCATAAAAAACTAAACGACAATTTTACCAGTATTTGGGAAATAATAGACATTTTATGTACATTAAAATGCAATAAAGGAATTTTCTAGGCAGCAGTAAAATTTTGCATATAATTTATTATCTATAAGTAACAAAATGTATTCTTGATAGATAAAAGATGTACTACTTTTACAAGTAGTAAAACTGAATAATCTGTTACTAACTCCATTTCAAACTGTCAATTTCTTACTACATATTCGTATACTATCTCATTATTATTATTATTTATTTTAAATTCAACGAAATTCGTACAGAACTTACAAAAAATTATAGAATTTTACTTAAAATCTAAATTGATAATAAAGTATTTGGTATGTGTCAGTTACTATCTCATTGGTATAAGAGTAATTTCTGTCAAAGTGCATTAACATGAGAAGTGGATTTTTTGATTCAAGTATTTAACAGAACTAATAACAACAAATATTTTTACAACAAAAATTTAAATATTTTGAAGCAAATTTTTATTAACAATCACTGATATTTACCAGATGACATTGGTTATTATTGTTTGTCTAGCTCTTCTCCATAGATTATTTAGTTTATTTTATAGACCAAATATTGAAAAATTTAATACAATAATATAGCCAAAAATTGATTACATTAAATATTGTTAAAAAAGTTCAACTATATTAAAACTATATACGTTAGAAACATGTTTGCTTAGTAAAGGATGATTTTAAGATAAGGTCCATTATAAAATAATTACATATGGCAGCTCCACCATAACTCAAATACACCTGTCAAGATAAAAAGGATTATTAAATAGGATAGAAGGATAAGGATTATTGCGGGATTAAATAGTATTCAATAGGATACTCTTTAATATTCGAATCTTAGGGATTCTTAGGGATGTTCTTGCAGAGAAGTTTGAACGAGAGTAGAATAAATATAAATTATAATAAATAATAGCATAAGGTAAGTTAAGTTTTATCCTATAGTTAGGCAATTGGAGTGCCTAATCGTAAAAACAAGTTCTCTGACTAAAAGGTTACTTAAAAGGACACTTAAGTTTTAAATGAACTTTTTTTAACTTTAACAAATTCTGAATTTAACACAGGTGGTTAAATATATTTATAATATTTTCTTTATTTTTTCTGTACCACGGCATTCTTGTAATTATCCTTTATATTGTTAAATAATCTATTTGTAGAGTTAACATATTTTTATAATTGTTTGCATAACCAAATAATGGAATACCATTATTTCAAATTGATATAATGATGGCATTATTCAACCAATTTGGAGAGTTCTTAAGGAGAGTAAACTTAAAGAAAATTGTCTCTTAAGAAACCAGTGCACTTTACAACTTAAAGTTTGAATTTTTTGATTCAATGATTTAATTCGCCATGAATACTTAGCCAGTGAAGATGTTAGAGTACCTGAAATCCCCTTCGAATGAAACTAGTGAACTATATGTACAAAGGTACATATATATGAATATGGTAATAAGTCTGCTGTAAAAACCAAGTAATACATCAATCAATAAGTCGTGTAACTGACACACAAATGGCGCTGACATTATTAAATCCATATGATGTTTATGAAGTACTAATCTTCAAAAGACTATGTGTAAAATTTCATGACATTTCGATTAGTCAGAAAATAGTGACAGCCATTTAAGTGAAGCTACTTTTGTTATTTTCAAAATAATGGATTCAAAACTATTTCGTGTGTTAATTTATCATTGCTTCTTGATGAAAAAAAATACTGTATAAGATCAGCAATGGCTTCAAAAATGTTATCCGGACTCTGCTCCATCGAAAAGAACCATTTATTATTGGTTTGCTGAATTTAAATGTGGTCGTACAGACACCGATGATTTCGACCGCTGTGGTCGTCCAATTGAGGTGGTTACTCCAGAAAACATCAAAAATAATCTAGAAATTCGTTATATCTGATCGTAAATTGAAATTGCATATGTATAAATAAGTATAAATGAGTATAACTAAGAATAAAAAATTTTCTAAAAAATGTATACTTGTGGATTTTTAACCTGTGAGCCCTTGTTGAATTGAATTTTTAGTTTGGTGGTATATACAAATTTCATTTAATTCGACATTACGAAATAGTAAACTATCCATTAAATCAATAAAAATCTTGGAGACTACTTTGGTTTTAAACATACATATAAGTCGCAACTGAAATAAATGTCGTTCCATGGATCTATTTAATGAATCTCTAAATAGATGACACTATCTACTTGAGACAAAAGGTTTTCAGTGATATTATATATATATTATAATATATAGGCCTTAATTGTTTTAGATAAGTCCATTATGATATATTAAGATTGTTTAGTGTTAATGTCAAATTAAAGGTCTCAAATTGGACTGAAATATTATGTATGTCCAAACTATTTTAATGATTTATTTTTCGGATATCATACATTTTATTTTTGGCACTGCCATATATATTTAGATTAATATTGATAATGGTGGAAATACCAGTATAACAACGAAGTTGTGAATTGTGTATAGTCAAATAAAGGGCATTATAAAACAAATATGTGTGAAGTGTTACGGTCTAGACACTCCTAAATTTCTACTCGAAGTATGGAGGTTTGCTTTTAAAGTTTAGCTAAGTTCTTTGTCAGATGTTAAAAACATTAAATAAAGAAATGCCTCATACGTGCCCTCTCTTCTTAAAAATTGACCGAAGTAATTATTTATAGTGAAAATAAGACTTTGGAGTAATTTTCGCTGATGAAGTATTGGTCATGTGTATTTATAGGTTATAATGCAATGATTTTTTTTCATTATAATAAATGATATGACTATAGATATTGCGGAATTTTATTATTATTATTATCTTGCAGGAATTTGCACTGCGCCCTAAAGATCTACTGTGTTCCCTTCATGGACTTAATCTATTTCCCAAATCCAACTTCCTTTTCATAATTCTAGTATTCAATCTACATTGCAGAGTTTTATTTCTTATGCATCAGTGCCTGAAAAACTTTAAGCACGTGTTTTACAAAACTTACAAAATCAACAATTTTCATTAGTATAAGTTCCAATTTTTATAATGTGGTAGTTTAACCTACAGTGCTCTGTCGGCATACCTGTTGTGATTTTTAAGTGATTTTTATATAGTTGCATACAATCGTTGAATAAATCGTTGAAGAATGGAATGTTGAAAATCCCTATAAGCAATTTCGATTGCGATAGCTTAGTCACATTACTCCAGTATTGTTTTCTTTATTTTTTCTCTTCGTCCTGAATGCGTAAAACAGAAATTATCTCGTTTTAAGTCACAATATCGTTCTAGATCTTCAAGAACCGAGGCTGCACAATTATTGACAAGTTTTTCTGCAAGTTCATTGCCGGAAATTCTGATATAATCTGGAATTTATCCATATTGATCCATACTTGATTGATATGGGCAAAATGTCAGCTTTACTATTTCTATGGTTACATATAACCAAATATAAAAACAACCAGTGATTCATAACTTTGTTGCAAAGCTTGAACTGTGGCTTAATAGAATATAAGGAGAAAATAAATCATATTTGATTTGGAAACTATAACCAATATTTAAAAAGGGTATTTAAGATATTAAATAACTAGACCGGTTTTATTATCGCTTTGAGTTTTTCCTGTCATTATTATATTATTCTCAGCAAAAAGGTTAATAAATTAGTTTCTTAACCGATAGAAATGGGTTATAAATCAAAGCAGAAAAAAAAGTATATAAGACAAAATCTTACAAAATATTAATTAACTGTGTAAAAATAAGATTTATAGTTGAAGACAATAAAGATTTTCTGATATAAGTTCTAATATATCAGAAAATCTTTCTTTAAGAGAACCTTTATATTGTTTAATTAGTTTTTATTAATAATATTTGATTATTCGATATTTGTAATTGTTTTAATGTTTCCGTAAGCGATTATTAATGATGTGCTTAGTTTTTGTTTGCATAAATCATTTACATACAAAATAATGAATATTTAACGAGTATGTCTTCAAACAGTTTCCCCTTCCGATATCAGCGATCAAGATTTTTTCTAAAGTTAATAAAAAATGTGTCAATTAGTATTTACATATAATTCTTTACAGTGAAATGCACTTTTAAGTAATTATTGTAATCTTATCTAAAACTTCAAATATATTTTACTATTTCTCCAGCCAACCGAATAATTTCTCTTAATAATAGTAAAAACTTTAATTAACTCTACCTTAACGTTTTCTAAACACTTTCTCAGCGCCTCCTAAGCGTACCGATAATCAAATTAAGCAAATGAAAACGCATCAACACGAGTACAATACATATAATTAAATTACTTAAATTACTTCCTTCATGTCTATAATTTATTGCAAAAACAATGCAAAAAACACAAAATTTCAAATTAATTAAATTTCATAAAATTGCAACAACTGCCTTAACGAGTACCGCAAAGTCAGAACGATGCACGATCGGATTTTGATAATTTGATGGGTGAAACACGCCTAGCAACCGTGAAAATATAGTAGTAATTAAATGATTATCAAATAAATATGACAAATTGGTGTCAAGTAATTTTACATTTCTGTGATTTGAATTGAATTAGAAACGTGAAGAAAATTTTATAACAAAACTATTTAACTATTCAATTACAATGCATTAAACCTTTAAGTCACATAATTCAAATGAATTTACCCGCCCTACTACAGTTGCTGACGTATTTCACAAAATCCATATTCAGCACTTGTAACTTTCTTTTTCGAAGAATTACACTTCAAGTTAATTTATTTAAGAAACACAATAATTAAGAAATTTATTATGCATTATGTATAAGTTAATATAGAAATACGTCATAAAATAAAAATGCCCAATAGAAGTGGAATTATTCCTGAACAGTTTTTCAATATCTTCTCAGTGGTCTCAGATACCAAGTCTACATATACGATCGAATGAAGATGTCCAATTCGAAATACCCTTTAACAATAACATTATTCTCATTCATTTAAAACTTTAAATCGTTTAAATCGTACTTGAAGATACGGTAAAAAGTGGTTCAAAGTTCGCTTTAAGCTTACTTTAATACCATATATGTAAGGAACAGTCACAGCGTTAGGATGGGCGCAAGGAGACGATGATCCAGTACAACAGAAATGAAAGGATCTATAGTATTCACTGCTATTTTGAATGTGATCAAATAGTTTCCATCATTATCAGAAGTTTTTGGAAATGTTCATTAATATAATACATAATTTTTGAGCTGCAAGTTCTAGGTATCGAATCCTGTACCCAGACTCGTATATTAACACATGTAACCAGCGTACACTTAAATTCATATTGATATTGCTATAATATGTTGTAACTGAAAATGTGATTAATTGGTTGAAGATATTTATCTCTAGAGTTTGGTTTTACTCATCTAAGTCTTTTTACGTCTAAATTTTAGTGCAGCCAGATTTAAAACTCAGTCCATTGTGAATGTTCACTGGAAATCTATTGCAAAATCCCAGTCATTTATTAAAATCATATGAGCATTTCATTTATTAATAAATTCAAATACATAAATAAATAAATTAGTTTAAATATATGAGATAAAAATTTGTTTTATTTTATTTAAATTAATTAATTTTTAGTGTTTACAATTTTTATATTTCATACTATATTGTACTCAACACAACAAAAAACATATAACATATTTTAAAAGTGATGCCAATTTGTTTCAACCAGATTTAGTTCTGTTTTTTTATAACTCTGAAAAAAAAAATACGGCTAACGTAACAAAAAACCAAGAACAACATTTATTATATAAAAACATATTTGGAATTATTAAATAAATAATAACTATTTTGAACAATATTTTGTTAATTTAAACTATTTTTTTAACAGCTTATTACGTACAACAATGTCCACGAGAGGAACCGGCAATAAATCATTGTCTATTAGAAAGTACGAACAAATTAGTGGAGCTTCTAAGAGAAGGAGTACCTGAATTGGACATGACCGAGGTAAATACTAATACTTAAAATAAACTATTACATTTAATAATAATACATCTTTTATATATTAGATTGAACCAATAGTAATTGATGAAATTGGTATTGTTTTGGGTAGCGGACCTGATGGATATCGTGCTCTCTTCCGTAATATCCAAGCATACGGTGTTAGCAACATAACAGTTACAAATTTCCGGTTTGTATAATATACTTTATTTTAAAGATAATGTTAAAATATATAAATAATTATGAATGTGTATATCTTTTAAGTAGTTTGTTATATGAAGATTAACGGCTTCACTTATTCCTCAAATTAAAAGATATACACTTAATACTATAATATACGGAACCTCGTATTAAAATGAAAAATATTCTTAATATAAAAATATTAATTCAAAATTGATTTAGATATATAATTAGAGAAGTCACAAATTACTCGTGTCGAATCGAATATAAATAGATTTAAATCAACCATTTTTTAAGCTCATTTGTAGAGACATTTTTGTTAGCTGTAACTCAAGTGCTTAGCCCATTTTAATTAACATCCGAATAATGCTTCGTAGTTATATGCATGCATAATATAGTAGAATTAATAAATTCGAAAAGTCTTTATTTGTATAATTTAATAGTGATTTAGAGTACTTCGTAATACTATTTATCAAAAATGCCAGTTCTATCAACTTATGAACGTTAGTTTATAATTAAGCATCATCCTTTGTTAGACTGCACAAACTGACTGACTAAAACAATAACTAATTTTGAATTTGTTGGTAATAATCAACTCTAGAAATTAATGGCTATAACTTTAATATTTTACAATTTATAATTTAAAAAGAAATTTTTTTACCCACTAGAATTAATATAAACTTTGTATGAAATGTAAAAGTAAATTGCTTTGCATTGTAATATTAAGTTGAGATATTAAGATTTGTATTTTAATTAATAATATCCTATATTATTTAAATAATTGTATTATTTATATATTAATCTATATACAAATATTATCAAGTATAAACATGTACTTAATCTAACTCTTATGTTAGAGTTAGATTAAGGTGTTTAATAAGGAACATACATAATTATCTTACATCTTTTACTTAAGAAAAATAAAATTTTATTTTAGCGTTAGATTAAGATGTTTAAAAATAAATATACTTAATTGTTTTATATTATTTATTTACGCGCATACGCTGCAACAAATGTTTCCCTATAGTTATTAGCTCATTATAAAAAGTGTTTATTTAGGCACATATGCCGCAATAAATGCTTCATTATGTTTACCATCGTATTGTGATTTAGTATTAATTTAGGCGTATAAGTTGCAGTAAAATAGCACGAACAAATATAAATAACTCAAAGAAAATGACTAAATAATTTACGAGTAGTATCTTACAACTACTCAACTTGTATATTATTTTATAGACAAGAAAGTTTCTGCAAGAGCTAAGATCGAAAAATATTGTTTTTCGAAAAAATATTTTTTTTTAATAAAATGGAATACTTGATTACGAATTGTGGATAATTTAGAATATACTACAATAACCGTTTTAATTAATTTTGATCATAAGTTGAAAAAATCAGTTTAGATTTACAACTTCACACAATTTTTCGAACAATTTATGATTATAAGCAGTTCTACTTTACCTAATCACTTTTCTATATCTTATTATGAGCTATATCAAAAAAAAAATTTAAATATTTTTATCAATAAATAATTCGTTTGACTTTGGAAATAAAAATGAACATACTCAGAACTTTAAAATTGCGTAAGTTTGTTTATTTAAGACTTCATTCAGAAGAATTTTTAAATTCTCATACATAATAATCTCCACTGAGGTTATTATGTAAGTCACACTCATAGATCGCGATAGTTGAAATCAGTAGACTTTCCGGTGTGACCGCTAATGAATGCAGTGATACATTGCATGTGTGCAATTTAAAATACAAGTACGTCCATTGCCAAGTGAAATAGTATGGACATTCGATTCTGTAAATGTTTAAGAACATGATTTAAATATTAGACAACAAGAAAATCCACTAGTGAACAGCTAGTATAAATAATTTAAGCTTCTCCATCCGCACATGGTCAATAAAATCACCAGACCGGTATGTTTGTCTCATAGTTTTTGCTACGTTACAAAACTCATGTATCAATGGTGTTGTGACTTGTTAATCGCTACCGACATGTCGCAACAATCTGCGACCATGTGCTTTGATACAGAAATTTTGATTTTGGCCTTTGACTTGCTAGGCTAAATAACACGTTAACCAGCATTTAACTCGATTTAGCTGAGTAAATATGCGATTTTTGCAGTAATACAAATGCAACTACAATTGCAAGCAAATTTTACGGAAGGAGTTCTTATGTTTTACTTTCAAATTTGTATGAACAATACCTAAATACTATAAACAAATGAATAAACATAATTTTTGGTAGTTTTCCTTTAAACCTTTTTATTTACATTGGAAACTGTTTTTACCGGCAATTGCATATCTTTTCTCTATCAGAATTTATTACTTTTTTTTTAACTCTATCGCAGAGATTGACTATTATGTCCCACAGTTACTATTTAGTCATAGATATTTTCGAAAATATTTATACAGAATGCGAAAAGAAGAGCAGCCCAACTGTATATACTACGGATCAGTCGAGGACAATGTTGAGCATACTTTCTCCAACTGCGAAAGATGGCATGGAGACTGTACACTAATGACAGAACCTGAAACCTGAATGCAAATTAATCAAAAACGAAGAGCAATCGGAATACTTTCCAATTCGAATCAGGAGTGGGCGCCTGAATGCAGGTTCTACGAGAAGCATATAACATGAAAAATCAATTTATAAAAGATCCTCCCTGAATTAATGCAAAATCGGTCCCGGAGCAAGAAATCTGGAAGAAGAAGAGGGGGTGTTTTTGTTCGTAGCAGTAGAACTCGGATATACCGTTCCAGCAACGGTCACTTTGACGGTGCATAAAGCATTCGTTATAATTGTAACTCCTGTATGGCCGGCCAATATATTTCACAATAATTTTGTTAATTAATTCTATTTATTAAAAAAATAACATATATACATAGGTACAAACAACAAGTTATTGTTTTTAAGATAGTATAACTTTTCTAACTTTTCTAATAACTCAAACTTTTACAATTTATTCTATTATATAATTATAATATTACTTACTTTATTTTTATTTTAATAAACAGTACTGATTTGGAAACATTACAATTCCAAATAACATGCGACATACCACGTATCAGGGTCAAGGCACAGTACCGTTCCACAGGTGTTTTAATTTTGGTAAAAGCATCAGGAGCTGGAGATTATTGGGGTGAATATGGTGAGTACAAATAATAAAAATTATAAGTTGGTTTCAAATTCATCAACAAATAATACAACTTCCCATTACTTTTATTTTAATATAATATTAAAGTTCTTAATATATTGTGTTTCAATCAACATCATTAAATTAATATTTTCGTTCTATTTTAAATTTAATACTTTTGCAGAGGATGTAAAAGCAAAAATTTACTTCAAAGCCAATGCACATGAATCTGAAGATGGTCACACATATTTGACAGCAGAACAGGTGAAAATGGATTTCAGTGTTAAGGACATACAAATGGGCGTTGAAAATATTGCAAATGGCAATTCTGTCATACGTAAGTATTTATCCAGTACACATATTTATATTTAAAATATTTAATATAATCTATGTAGTTTGGTTCAACTCTAAAGACAGTAAAATATTATTAGTAGAAGGAATAAATAAAATAAATTAGTAAAACCTGACATTTGTACCTGACAAAGGTAAAGGTACTTGCAATAGTTTCCATATCCATTTGAGTAAGATAATAATTTGTGTCGCGATTTCCGCTTTATTAATGACGCACTAAGTTGTTTTGCAGCTGACATAACTTTAACGACGACACCTATTACGAAATAAAAACATAGTCCTCAGTCCATCAGCTGCTTTTACTGCCAAGTTTTCGTAAAGTTTTCTTGTAGTATCTAACAACCATAGGGTCTAAACTGCTGATCTTTCTTGGTTTTTTTTGCCCCTATCGATAAGTACAAATCACTGTCTTTTCCATATATCTGGAAAGATTCCCTCTTCGAGACATGCGTCGCATATTCCCAGCAATAAGTCAGGTTTACTTTCCGTTAATATTTTTAGAACTTCAACTGTCACCCCATCTGGTTTAGGTGCCTTATTTCGAAGATCTTTAGCTGCGATGGTGAGTTCTCTCTCCGGAAAAAATTGAATGTCCTCCGGGTAAACTTGCAGGACGTTTTCGTCACTCCCGATAAATTTAATATTGGATTTAAAAAAAATTACTATTTAATAATAATAAAATGCACCGAAAGAGAATGTCACTAAACCGATATTAGAAAGAGTTAGTAAGTGAGAGAGAGAGGGAGAGAGAGTGGGAGAGAAAGTGGGAGGGACAGAAAGGCATAGAGAGAGAGAAAGCGAGAACGATAGAGGGAGGGAGAGCGAAATATTTTTGCATATAAATACAAACATGAAATTTTATATTTACGCATCATAGTTTGAACTACATACCAATATATAGAAATCAACATTATTTTATATATTATAAAATTTGTTTATTTATTTAATAAAAAAACTAAATTTAATTCTTTAATAAGAAAGAATTGACTGAAAAGATAATTATAAATATTTATTCCTTTCTTGAAATTCATATTTACCATATTATGTTTCAATGAAGTAATTTGAGTCCTCTTCAATAAAATAAGATTAAAACTAATGTTTCAGTTTTCCCAATAATTAAATAATTTTTTTATTATCCATAAAAATATTTACACGTTGCAAATGTATTACTATTTTTATAATAAATTAATTAAAAGAAAAATATTTTAGCAAATCCTAAAATTCTATTATATTATAGTGATAAATCAAACAAAATTGATTTCATAAATAAATAAATGTTTTGTTTTACGATAAAAGTATTTCAAAAAAAAAGTATCTTTCTTATTATAACTATTAATTTAAAATAAATATTGGTCTAAAATGGGTTTAATTTTGTTCCAAAAAACACAAAATTATATCGATGTTAATAAAAACATTACATTATTATATTATATATAGGTCAACATAAAATTTACAGTGTTAGTTATTAAAAAATCGCACCCAAACGAAAAAGTTAACAAAGCTTAAGTCTTCTTCGTCTTCTTGTAATTTGTTATATATTTTTTTCATTTAATAATTAAAAATTAATTTATAATATTTATTAATGTTTTTAAATCAAATTTACAGAAGCTGCTTTGAATCTTTTCATTAATTCAAATGCCCAAGAGCTGCTCAAAGAAATGAAACCAGCACTCAGAACCAAATTGTCTATGGTCCTACATAATTTTCTAGACCGACTCTTCGTTAAAATTCCTCTCGATGAATGGCTTAATCTTAATTAAAAAAACTGTAGCATTTAAGTGAACAACTCTCAGAACTTAATAGTCTAAGCAACTTTTAATTATAACATATTTATTAATATTATTTATTACATATATAATACATATCGAAAAAAAACAAAATATTTGTGAATTTTCAAAGAAATGTAGTTGAATGCTTTCCACGTAGTAATTATATGATATAGTTCCCAACTATAGAACACAAAATCAGAATTGAATATAATTAAAAATAATAACCCATAATAAATAATAAAACTGTATTTTTAATTATTTAACTATCACAACAGAATTGCACCTCGCACGGTAAGTATTAACCTATAGACCTTTTAAACACCTTTTCTTTAAAAAATCTTTATAATTTTTAGAACATTAAATTTTGCTTTGTGTCTTTAATTATATTTTTTAAATATAATTTAATCGTAAAGTTCAAAATTTGAATAATTAAACAAATTACGTAAATGAGTCATAAACAATTTATATTACATCAACAGTCAAAACTTATATATATCTTAGAAGTGTATATACTTTTTAAGTATTTTATTGAAGCATTTTAAAAAAAAATCCGAAATGCACGTGCCCTTAAATCTAATACTAAATTTCTATTATACTAAATTGTAAGGCAGTAGTAATACTATGCTTACTATAAATGAGCCAAAATGATTATGGGTGTGTCACAAATACTAATCATTTGCACGATAGAAACTATGTGCTTATGATATAAGTCCATTTCTCATTACTGAAATAATGCATAATAAATAATATATTATATTAAAGATTTTTATGTATTGTTATTTTTCATTAGGCAACAGTAGAAAGGTAATAATTTTTTATTTATGTAACAAAAGAATTATATAGGTAATGTTAAATGAAAAAGGGATGTTAAGAGGTTGTATGAGATCAAATTCTCAAATAAAGTATTTCAAAAACTTCTCTATTAACGTTATTCATTATATATTGGATGCTATTGTTACACTTATAAGCGGTAAAATATTTCAAAATCATGAAAAAAAAAATATATATTTATATATATATACATATATATATTTTTATATGACTATTACCACTATTGCCTAAGTGGAATCAATGCAATGGAACTTAGAGGTTTGGAGCTTCATCTGAATTTTTTTAGCTTCAATATATTTATGCCAAGTTAGTCGTCTGTATAAGTGAATACCTAAGTATGTTATGTTAACTGCTTGTGGTATGGGAATGTTATTTAGTGAAATTGTTGGAGATGTACTCCGATTTAAGGTAAAAGTGACGTGTCTACATTTTAGTTCATTAATTTTAATTAGCCATTTTGACAGCCATTTCTGCACCCGAAGTAAGTGAGATTGAAGTTGATTTGAAGCTAACACAGCGTTTTTGTTTCGGCATAAAATTGCGATATTATTGGCAAACGTTGTGGTGACAACTGAACTACTTATTGGGATATCAGATGTGTAAAGTACATACAAGATAGGGCCAAGAATACTTCCTTGTGGAACGCCAGCTTCTATTGGGAAATTATTAGAAATATATGATTTACATTTCACTTTAAAGCTTCTAATATGCAGATACGATTCTAAAACTAACTGAACATTTGCAGGTAATGAACAGCGTATTTTATATATGAGCCCATTATGCCATTTTTTATCAAATGGCTTTTAGCCTGATAAAAATCGTGATTAATTGTCAATACTTGATAAAGTTCAAGTTCACAAAATAGGCGAGATAATATATATAAATATGTTATAAATTTTTTAAAAAACATTAAATCTGCACGTATTCATGCATTATATATACAAACGTGTATGTATATAAATGTACACATACATAGGTTTGTATGTAATTAAATCTTTATACTAGAAAAAAATTGTTTAGATGTATTTAAAATTCAATACACTTCCGTATTTGTAAATACAATTAATTTTGGTAATTAGTTATATGGGCACTACAGCATTTACAGTCAATTTGTTAATTTTTAATAACAATTTTGTTAATTAGTCGTCTTTATATGCCTGAATTCACATCAATACACCGCGCGAAATTTTATATTGCAACTTAGTTATTAAGATTTTAAAACATTCACTTCAGGTATAGAAGTAAAATATTATTACACTTGTATTTAAAATAATAATAAAAATCATCATAATTGTCTAACTTAAATAGAGAAAAGCTTACCTATTTTACATGTTGAATAAGAGGTTTGTTTTATATGTAAGTCGATAAGTTTTATAATTTAAATTTTAAGCCCTGATTTCTTTTAATAAATATTGAAAAAATAATTTTTTCATTTATTTTATTTCATTTTTTTTATTAAATTAAAAAAATTAATTTTCATAGAAACCATTAAAACATAGAAAACTCACATTTACGTTTTTTTGGGTATATTTAACTGTCAACAGCTGCATAAGAGCATAAATAGTTTTTTTAGATTACTTTTTTCTTTTTTGTTACGCCAAGCAAACGGCAACGTTGCGTCTTTGCAGCGTTGGCTTCCATTACATGTTTGCTTGAAGAACATTTTTCATTTATTTACATTGGGTTTACGTTATTTTTATCGTCGTAATTGAAAACTTTATACATATTTAATTTTTAAGAAAACAGTTGTGAATTTATAAATAATTTTAATTTATTTATTTTATAATTGAACATAGAAATAATACAAATGAATATAAAATTATTTTTATATCAAGTAAATGCGTTATTTTGTTTAAATTTCATCAGATCCCTTCAAGCATACATTGTTTTTATATAAAAATTATCAACTTTATAAATAAATAATTATTACACTTTTTAAACTTAAGCAATTATTTTTTATGTTATTTGTTAGAATTTTATGTTTCAAAATAATTAACTTGCACAAATGTAAAAAATTTTTTTTCATGATGTAGACGCAACTATTAACGGTACATAAAAGTATACACATATAATTAATAACTACATATATTTTTTTACCATATTAGTTTGAGTTAAAAGTATGTAATGAAAATAAATAAAATTATTTTCGGAGTGATTAATATTATTTAAAAAATAACTGAAATTTTAATTTATTTTTTTTCTGTTTACCAAACCGTCCACAAAACAAACGTCACTCAAAGAAGACTAAAGAAGAACTAAACAAATGAATGCCACTTATTAATTAAATGAACTCACAAAATTTTGCTTTTATTTGGGCACACAAATGTAACGGTTTCATCCTCTTTGTTTCCCTTAAACTGCGTTGTCGCTGTTCACTTATTTGAATGTTTCATAAACACTTCATTTTAAATAATTTACATTTAGAATAAAGTTACATACATATTAAACATACATATAGTATATAGTACAAATAAATTACTTATTAAGTGTTATGATTATACATATACAACATATAATTAATAGCTGATGAGTAAGTAATTAAATATTGTCACAAGCAATTCATTTCGAAAAAATTGAAAATAAAACACTAGAAATTAGAATAATTAGAATAAATTTAAAACGATCTTATTAATATTAGTAATATAAATCAGCGATAGGTATGCATTGGCTTAATTTGCTCAGTCAGTTATGGAACAGTTTGAAAATCACAAATCAAACCGACAACAGCAACATCAACGCATAACAAACCTGAAACTCCAATCAGTGGCGGATAACAAATTTTGGCATATACTTATTTGTTTTTGTAATGTCATTTAATGTTCGACTTCATACGATTAATACGAATATGAAGACAAAGAGAAATGTTGTCAATATGCATGGGTAAACATATCTATGATATGCAATATGCTCTAAATGCTCTGAAAAATGACATCAGAAACTTTTATTTATTTTGAGCCAAACAATAAAAAGCATTGGAGCATCAGTAGAAAATATAAATTTTGTTTTCATGATATAGAATTTGTATGTGTAGATATGATTTAGTGTTTGTTGTTATTTTGCTCTTTAAATAGACTTCTATGCTAACCGTTGATTTAATTAGCGTAGCTAGTATTTTCTATATCAAAGTAATCACACTTTAACGCCTTTTGAGCTTAAAGTCGTCAATATTCGCGGCAGTGTACTCCAAACGAAGCCTTTAAAGACTAGCTTAACAACATTAAATTTAAAATAAACAAACATAAATTTTGTAGATTTATCTATTAGAAATAAGTGTTTGCGAATTATGTTTTCTATGTATAAAATGACTTATTTGAGTTATATTTACTAAAAACAAATATTTTTTATTGTGAATTTCAATTAAAAGAAGATTAAGAATGGCTGACAAGAAGAATGATTTGGTTTAATTTTAATTTTTAATACATAATATACAAAAGAGTTTTAACTACATTCTAAGGTTCTAAATACCTGAAACTCAATTGGCTACAAATACCCGCATATGGTGAGAAAAATAATAGAAACGTTATATGTACGATAAAATAAATGATATACAATACATAAATTAGAACAAAAATATAAAATAAAATTTAAAAATATTATAACACAAATAAAATAAATATCTATTAAAATAATTTAACAAAATGTATCAAAATTTAATATCAATATATATGTAATATATTCAAATAAAAAAAAAATAATATAAAATTAAATAAAAAACAATTTGGGTTAAAATAAAATAATATAACATGAAACAAACAAATTAAAACTTTATTACACAAAATATTTTTAAAAATTAATTTTAGTTTCATATAAAATATAACTCATTTAAAATAAGACACAATAATATTAAATAAAACAATTAAGAATAAAATAAATAAACTAAACTCATAAATTAAAGCGAAATTGTTGAAAAATAGTATGGAATAAATTAATCTCCTTAGTAAAAAATAATAACTTAAATTAATGTAAATATATACAAAAAAGTGTGGTTATATGTGAACATAATTCAATAACATTAAAATGTGTTTAAAATTAAATTTAAAAATGATTAATTTAAGATTACAGCATTATTAGATTTATTAATTGATATAAAAAAATTTGTATCTTCTTATTAAAATACATATGAATTAAATTTTTAGTGTCAATAACAAGATTTATCTTTTGTATAGTAAAGAGGATAATGGTAAGGAAATTTCGAATTAATTTAATTTTTAATTAAATACCTTTATTGGTCTGACCCGTTTTGGGCCCTTTTTCTGATATTACTAAATATCTCTCATCAGCGGTTTTTGAAAACAACTCTTCCTTTAAATGTCCATATATTCCAGATTTCAATAATCTGGAAATTAGTTTGCTTGACTGTATAATTTGATCCACAGTGACTTTTGTTAAATGATCCACTTTTGTTAAATGTTAAAGAATGACATCTGCACTAAATGGATATTTTAACGACCATGACCCAATGCCTTATTCAGAATGGTTAATAAAACTATAGCATCCTACAAATAAATTTGAGAAAATAAAAAAAACAACACAAACTTTAAACTTTACTTTATATCATGTTATACGTATTATAGTCAAATATTTTTAATCAATCCTTCTCTGTGCTTTAATACTTACAATATAATTTTGTTGAATTCTTATCTAGATTCTTAGATAACAATATTAATCAATTTATTTATAAAATTAAAATAAATACTAGTATTTTAGAAAGAAAACAAAATCTTTAAAAAAAAAAGACTGAATAAATTGAGGAAAAGAATTTAAAAAGACTAACGTAAAGGCGTCATTATTGATTTAACAAGGAATTATATAGTTCCGCTTCTACCTATTATGTTTTATGCATGTTTTCTTATTAAAATAGTATTTACGGCTCATTAGACATTTAAATAGCAGCAATCGAACAGATAATTTTACTCTCCGAGATATTATGGACTCGAATTAAGTTAACAAAATATTAATTAAGTTATTAACGATATATGTAATAATCAGGTGCAGTTTTAATAATTGTTCAGCTAATGATATTATTACTATATTCTTTTACTATAATTATATATGCCAGGCGATATTCTACTAAAAAAGAAAATTATTTTTAAAGTTTAAAACACAATAATCTCGTTTAAATAATTTTAAATTACAAATAATAATGGGTTAATGGGTTAATAAGTCAAAATAAATTATGGTATACCACTGTGTCGATTAGTTAGAGTGTTCCAAACTTTTTCCTGGAATTTTTGAATAGACTAATTGGCGTATATTGATTAATTAGTTAGTAACACACATTTTTTGTGTAAATTTTAAGTTTAAATAAATTTCGAATTCTTTAATAACATAGAAGAGAGAAAAATAGCAATTAGCTTCCGGCATAAAGTTACGATGGTCTCCATATAATATAGTGTGTAATGTTCTAATTAAAATGTCAAAAAATATGACGTTTATATGTACATGGAGGTGAATATATACGCGTTTTTTTTGTGAAAAAAAAAATTCCTTACCTACAACTATAACTATACCACTATGAATTAGTAAACCCAAAAGAACTGAACTTAATCTGGCAGGCGATCAATTCCAAACATTGTCAAAACAACCCAAATGTTAATTAATATTACATACATGATTTAATTAGAAAATGTCCTTAATGAAACTCTTGTGTAAAAAATTGTGATTTCATCTTTGGAACTCAAAGCCCTCGATTTCTTAACGATTTTAATATACAGTTGTCAATTCAAACTTTTAGATGTTTATATACAGTCTTACAAGAGGTTTCAATGACAGCTACTTTTATGCTTGTACATTTAGTCAAGCAGCATTGAAGGCATTTTTGGCTTGTACGTAATGTTCTAAGTCTCTGGTATCCTAGGTTGATACCAGTCGCAAAATTTCTGGTCCGGAATCTTGAAATGATGTCTACAACTATGATTTTACACAACAATAGAAACATGAAATTGTTAGGACGACACTAAAGATAACTACTACTAATGTATATTTTAAGAAAAGGTATTAAAAAATATACCTCTAAAAGGTATTTAAAAAGATACACATTTTTTTTCTTAACAGTAGGTTGAAAGCTTACGATGCCACAGTGTGACACTTGAGCCCACTATAAGCATCTCTTAGAATGAATGAAGAAGATTTCCACAGGAGTGTGAAAACTTCATTCCAGTAATCATGTGAGAGAGATGGGAAGAGATAGGCTTAATGCGTAGTGGGCTAGGTTCATCTAAGCCAGAAAGCAAGGGCATAATAATGAAGGGGGTGGAGTTATAGCTAAGCGCGAGAATGAGATTAACGTTAAACTTTGTGACCAGGGTCATTAAAGCCATAGTATAGATTTCAGAAGAATGAAGAAATGTCTTCAGGAAGGGTATTGGGAAAAGCGACGTCAGGGGGATCGTTTCAAATAATTATATCAACATATATCAATAATACTATCAATAATTATAATTAAATTGAAGTAGCATTTCACCAAGTATATAAAGCTCAGAGAAGGACTAGAGGATTATGTCGAGAAGTAAAGATAAAGCCATATCATATCTTTTAATAAATAAACTAGTTTCTCCATTTTTGAACTATTCACTCAAATATTCACACAAAAGCTTTTCATGAACTTAGATAATATATTCTATATCTGTTATGTATAAGAATTTGTTACATAATTTTAAACCTATATTAAATTTTCTTAAACCTATATTACGCTACTATCAACACAGTTCAAGGACTGTTAGGATTCTACTCTAATAATTTTATTAAAGCTAATAAAACACTTATCAGTGGTGATAGTATATAGCTAAACCATATTTAGAAATTTAATTCTAGTGGGGGTTTACAGAACGGGGACCTTAAATATTTTTCTATAAAAGTTTCCAAGTATTTAGTCTATCGCGGCCAATTATATTTCCTGGTGAAGTTTTTATTCATTTTATTAATTCCTATTTATTTAATTATTAACGGTTGCAGCTGTTAGTGAAAAAGTAGCCATAATCATAAGGAGATACTTCATTACTAGATAATAAGTTCGATCAACTTCAAAACCTTAGTATGTGCATTACTCGTTGATATGCTTCCACATCGAAATATGAACTCGGTTTTTATTGGGGATGACCACATTTTATTGACATTTTATAGGGGTGCATAACAATTTGATTAAAAGAGAGATTCGGTCCTTTATGAGTTTTGTATGTAGTATGAAAATATATTTAATAGAACATAACGAATATTATGAAAAAATAAAGACAATCTTAACTACAAATTGCAAGAGAGGGCAAGGACAGTCTAATGACGAAAATGTTGACTCCATTGAACATTGTACCAAATTTCACTCTTGACTGCTCGACAATGTCGATACCTGCAGTTCAGCTTGCAAATCTTTTAAGATTTCAAAACTTTTTGTAGCGCTGCGATGAGTAGCGATTTTCATAAAGCAATGCGCGTTAATTGGACTTCAGATACTTTGTTTGACAAGATAATTTTGTGCGCATTTCAGATTTACTTGAAATTTGAGGAAACCAATCAGAGCAGTTCTAAGGTGACTTGTAATTTTTCATTATACATTAAATTGGTTTTAATTTTAATTTATTATATTATTTTTTGCATCCTCTGTTTACATCTTTAATTTTGTTATTACTTAATAGAATTACTTACGGCATAATACGAGCTAAGTTGCTATATTTTATATAAGTTAATAAATGTGTAAAAGTGTACTTTCATTATTTCATTATGCATATATATACATGCATATGTACTTAGCTTATTACCAGTGACAACAATACCAACAGGCTTGCATGAATAGATACTTTTGTTGCATCTGATATGGGAACGAAACTTATTTAATAATTTATTAGCATTAATGGTCGGTCTCGCGTTTATTATAAGCCTCGTCACATACGTGGTGGAATTACCTACCAATACTCGATTTTTTACGATATTTATACTTCGCATTTATAGTTTGTATCTACTTCCACTTAATTTATAATTTTATTGTATGTGATTTTGTGTTAACTCGCACGCGTTCACTGTTTTGTTAGTCAAATTCTAACAAGTATAAAACGGCGACAATTTGCGGCACTTCGACTCAGTTTGGCTCAGGCGGTGTTTAAGACGTGCTCGTTTCGGAGAATTACTTAAGAACATATCACATTCTAAGAACTTCAAAAAAGATTTTAGCCTAAAGTTTTTTTTTTAAAATTTAATAAAACAAATTTTATTTGTCCTTGTGCTAAAATTAATTAAAATTAATTTCATAGATAAACATTTTTTGAAGAAGTGAAAAAGTGAGTGAATTTATCGAATGTAGTTTATAAAACATATATATAAAAATTTAATATTAATATAAGAAAAATATTTAAAAATATTATAATCTATTTAAAAATTTTAAATATTTTATATTCAGCTAATTCTGCCATCAGAACAAGTGTACATTAAAATATTGATTTACTTTTAAGAATCTCAGCAAAAACAAAATTAAATTTATAAAAAATATTAAAAATAATTTATTGATGACGTTAATTTAAAATGATGTTAATGTTAAAGAAATATTAACTGCAAATATGTGTGACAACATGTGTATGATTTTTCAATTAATATTATCTATCATTTTTGAAATTTAAAAAAAATATTTTTAAATTTAAATCTTTGTCAATACACACTAACAAAATGGATAAAACATTATATTTTAAAAATATTATGATATTTTTATCATTTAGATAAAATTTATTTAAAAAGAGGTTTTTTCGCGCAGTAGTGAGCTACAGCAATAAAAATTAATTTTATATTATTTTAATTATTTGAATTTTTAACTGAGCAGCTGTTTCGAGTATTGCCAAATACCCATAATTAGTGGTCTTTTTTTTGACTGCAATTACCAGATATCGAACTAGTATCCTGCCAAATTTGAAGCTCAGAGTCAGCGCACCTTAACTAACACCCAAAGCCGTACTTGACTTTTATGTCCGCATATTTTTCTGCAGTTTTGTTACATAGCTGTGAAAGTTTTATTAACCAATTTATTTATTTATATTTATATTTAGCTTTTTAAAAATTTAAAAATATATATTTTAAAATTAAATTTGAAATATAACTCATAGTATTTTGTCCGAATCGTTCCAAGATTTTTCTTATTCCCTGAAAGTGTGTTATATTAAAAACTAAACATTTTCATCACCAAATAAACTTGAAGAAATATTAAAATTTTTATAATAAATTTCCAATAAAAAGAAATATAAAATATATATTGAATTTTAAAATATTTTATAATTAATTGTTAATGCGATCAATTTTATCAATAAGTTTTTAATTTTCACCGGGCTTAGATTTAACTCATAAAAATGATAAAAAAAATTTATACCAAGTTCATTATTTTATTAATTAATTTGGTTGTAGTCCCCTTCTCAATAAGTACTAAAGTACTTACAAGATGATGACAGCAAAGTGATGATAATTTACAATTCAACGTATCATTATTAATATATAAAAATTAATTGCTAGTATTTAATAAACTCTGATTTTACATACTATAAAATATATGAATGCCATATATCAAACTTAAAACTATAATTTATTATTTAATTATACTAATAATAATTTAATTATAAACTGAGAGTTAAATTTTACTTATATCACAAAAAAATCAAAAAAATGTTTTATGATCGCTAACATTATAGTCGAAGTGGAAATTAAGAGAAAAGATACAATAGTACAGATTTAAAACAATAAAGTAATATAAAAAAATATTAATTATATAATAATATTATAATTATGTAATAATATTATTGTAATATTTATTATTGTAATATTATTATTATAATTGTATAAAAGTATAAAATAATATTTATTATACACATTTTTGACTGGACTGGGCTTTCCATATTACCTTAAAAGATTCGAAATTCATTCAGAACTTACCAAGTATTAAGGTCGTGTGCGAGTTAGGCTAAGTTGATGCTAAACCAAATGGGAGATTTTTTGGGATTTTTTGCACTGCACACATTTAGCCATTTATCAACACGTATTGACACATCACTACATTATCGGCTCATCTTAGAATTTCCCTCATTTAGAACGCAACTTAGCCTAACTCGCACACGTCCTAAGTACTAAATATTAAAAAGTAAAAGAAGACAAATTCATAAAATATAAACATAAAAAATTTCCTTGTTTGCTTTCCGCAATGAATTTTAATAATTGACCAGTATGGAAAGTGCTAGTTGAGTAAGTGGGGGGTTTTTCCCTAAAGACGATGACAGAAAAAATGATCGAAAACAAACTGGGATCGCATAATAATGTTTGCTGCAAAAATCCTGTGGTTGAAATAAGAAGATCTCGACAGAAGGAAGCTCTAGAAAGCAGCTGTATTACACCAAGGCAAAGTATAAGGCTAGCTATCTGAAGTAGCAGAGTAGAAGAAAATGAGAAAATGAAAAATAGGGGCCCTACTGCGCAGTAATACAAAAGAGGAGGAGTTTAGTTCGTGCGAGTCGGGCACACACTTACTGGGTCACCGGGTCTGTGCGTTGGCATTCCTCTCCTTTCTACAATACAATACAAGACAATACAAATTAACTAATATCAAAAACACTACACCTGAATTACTGAATTAAGTCAATTATATTTATAATTAGAATTATAATTAGAATACAGTAAGGGAAATGCTTCATTCAAAAACTGCTCATATCTTTAAATCAAAATGAATTAAATTATTTTATATTTTATATAATAAAAAAAAAATTTTTTTTTTAAATTATTATTATTTATTTTATTTTAAATATTATTATTTTATTTTTCGCAATAGCGGAATAATGACGCAAGAATAGATTATATTTATGAATTTTGAAATAAACTAATATTAACTTTTTTATTTGTTTAGTAATAAACTATAACTAATATTGACCTATCCCTGAATTCTGAAGTCTAAACATACTAGTCTTAAATATAATCTCTAATTCTTAGTCAAAAATTAACAAGAATTGCCGTCATTCATTAAAAAAAAAAAATAATGGTACATAATAGTAAAAAGATTAAAGCATACTTCAATAATAGTTAGAAATATGTGCAGAAACTTTTTAGAAGTTGTACGGGGTTAATGAGAAATCACTGTATATATACTCGATATACATATAAATTTATTTATTCTAGCTTAATTAAAATAAAATGGCGTTCAAGACTTAAGACCCTAAGGTCATATTGTACAAAATTCCAAGATATGTCTATGAATCAGACTTCACAGAATAAGATCTAGTCTTGGAAATTTTTTGATAATAAAATTTTGTCATTTCAAATAATAATAAAAAAATTGTCATTACATTTCTGGCAGTCCAAAGTAATAAAAAATATTTCTGCTGTATAATAACTTTTATTTGTTATTACTTAGCATTTTTTAACGATTTAGCAAAATTACTTTGTTTACATTCTGATGTATTATGGTATAATGACATTTTTACATGTTTAGAGGCAACGTGAAAGATATTTCCCTTCTTAATTTGCATATGAAACCAATTTTGTCTCTCATGTGTGGTCTGCCCAGTGAATTTGTATTCAAACCGCCTCCAATTAGTTTACAAAAATGAATTTAGCAATAATTGCACATTTGATAAGAAATTAACAGTTAAGCAAATTATAGACCTTTTTTTGAAGGGTAATAATAATAATTAATAATAATAAAAAAAAAATGATATTCCATTGAATTCAATTACATTATTTGCAATACGAAGGCAAGTAATTTTAATTGAAATAACGAAAGCATTTGATCGAAACTATATCGCTAATAGGGACTTTACTGAAGAAGAATATTCTGCCTTTACTTAACACTCTATTCTTAGTTCCATATAAATTCATTGCAATTGAAAGCATACTATTATTACTAATACTATAAGAATCAGAAAATCAGAAATATGACTACCGCTGAGTGTAGTAATGTCTGATGTTGCCAGACTTTAATATTCAAAATTCGCGATCTCAAATCGAAACAACAGACCTCTAGTTGTACAGTAACAAAAAGAAATTTATCTCTAATCTAAGCTCTATTCAAATCTGTAATAGTCTAAATTCAAATTCTAATACTTCTAATTAATACCACTTTATTGGTATACTATATAGCAAAATTTGGGTTGATGCGCTAAACGCAGAATGTCGTAGAAACAAATACGCAGCAGCTCAACAAACAGCAGCGCTTAGAGTGAACACAGCGGACCGTACAGTATCCGAAGCTGCAGTGATAGTAATTAGTGGGGACACACCAATCGACCTCCTAGCTCAAGAAAGGAAAACACGTTGGGTACAGATACAAAACAACGAAAACATGGCGAACAGATATACGCGGCTATGTTATCAAATGTTATCAAGGCATGGTTATGTTATGTTCGCAAATACCTCCTTAGAATGGTGAACAGCTGCTAGCTGTATGCTGGCGAAGACGATAACAACCACACGTTTTTTTACTGCTCGCAGTGCCACAATGAAAGGTCTGCACTCGAATGTAATACCGGAGAATTCACTGCAGAAAATATTATAAATGAAATGCTACAAAGCGAAGATGCCGTAGAGAGATACTAAGAACCAAGCAGATAGTTCTCCACGTAGAAGAGCGTGAGTAAGCAAAGATGAGGCGGAAGTCTGGACGCAGGCTATTAACAAACAAAAAAAAAGGCAAGAAGCCAAGAAAAAAAGGAATCAGCCCGAAGTAATACAATAGTGGTCCCAGGAAGGTTTCCCAGATGAAGAGGTATGGTGTTTTAGTCGGTAAGAGTCTGGCACACCGGTATCATGACGATGGTATTGACGGCCCATGATGGGTTTAACACACCTCATCGCAAAATAGTATATAATGTCACAAACATCTCAATGGTCGTTCTGTTACATAAATATATACATAAAATATAATATACAAGGACATTGAATACAAGGTTTAAGCTGGAATTATTTATATTTTAAAAGTTCACTTGCAATTTTATGTTTTTGAAAATCAATTACTTCACGGAAAGTAATTTCTACACCAATTATAAGAATATACAAGAAGAAAAAACTAATAAATCTATCAAAAATCTATATGGACCAAATTTTAAATTATATATAATAATCTCATAACAATTTTTAATTATTTTGACTCTTTCTCTTACAGAAAAAATATCGCCCAAAAATGATCACATACTTTCTCACGTCTGTTTTAATGCTGTTAAGCTATTCAAGCATCACCTTCTCAAATGAAATACGTTAGTATAACAATATTAATAATAAATATAATTAATATGTCTTTCTAATCCAATATATATCTAATTATATAGCTGATTACATAAAACTCTGTAGTCGAAATGATCCAAAAGTCAACGAGTGCGTCAGAAACACTGTTCACAATATGCGTCCTTACCTTAAGAATGGTATTAAAGAGTTAAATGTACCTGCTATGGAACCACTTTATATTGGAGATTTAAATATATTGGATGGTGGATCTGCCGGTATCAGTGTAAAAGCGAAAAAATTAAATATTTATGGAGCTTCAAACTTCGAAATTAAAAAAATTAAGTGAGTACATAATGACTAAAAAATAAAAAGATATGTAGAAATAATTGATTTTGAAAATTCGGTGTCTTAAATTTAGTTCAAATGTGCACTGTCGAAAATTTAGAAAAGAACAAAATTTAAGTAATTATAAATATAATAAAAATGGTGCTAATATAAAGTATATTAATGCTAACAAAATCTATTTTATGGAACTACATAATAATTATTGTGAATTACAGTTGATAGATAAAAGTAAGATATTAATATATAATCAAAAAACTCTTTGTGTGCGAGTCGTATAACTGCAGTAGTGGGTTATGTTTAGTATAGTGGTATAACATTATAAGCTTGGTACAATACCATGGATTCTGTGACATCCAACGTGCAATGACATATATGATATATGCTTTTATTTGCATAGAGATTTGCAGATATTTGCATAAACTATAAAAAAAATGAAAAATTAAAATTGTACTGTTACATCATTATTCGTAATGTGAGTGATATAAAACGCATAAAAGAAATTTATAAGGTTGATTTTTTATGTCGAATGTGACGCGTCTTATGACGAAAAGAAACTAGAATGGTTCGAACAGATTTGGAGAAGAAATAGCAAAAATTTAAATATATTAATCAAATTTTTGTTATTGCTCCATCATTACTGTTCGAACCCTTCTAAAAAATTACAATTTAAATATTTTCTATCACAAATTGTTAACATTAGAGCACTGCATTTTCGCATAACGCATTGATATTCTAATTGGGTATCTGAGTAAATGATTAGTGGGTAAATGGGTAATAGTTTTTTTCTTTTGAGCGTCGTATTAGATATACATACAACAAATGTAAATACAGTAAATAACCGAAATTTCATACCTACCATAATAATAATAATAATAATAACTTTTCATTTATACTTCAAGAGCGAATTGAATCATTTGGGCTTTAATCGCATGTCACACTCTGCACAAGACAGAGTTGTACTTCTCTAATTTTTTGGCGAAAATTTTAAAAATAAAATAACGAATTTACAGTGTGAAAGTATTATATTTCAAAGTAGGGTAGAGACTATCAAAGACAGTCAGTACCAAAGTTAATTTTAAAACTCTCTTCTACACGTACAGGTATTATTTTTTTTTTTTTGAATCGAGAATTGTCTCCTTAATTTATTTATTTCATTTAATTAGCAAAAACCCAACACATTTATTATTTAAATATCCGAAATTATTTTATTTTTTTGTATTTTATGAATATTCAACCGTTATTAATTTAATTGTATTGAATTATATTTTTTGAAGATCATCAAATAATGCGAAACGTTTTGATTTCGAGCTTAATCTGCCAAGTTTACACGGTGAAGGTAACTATGAAATGAATGGTCAAATTTTAGCTTTACCGCTAAAAGGAAATGGGCCATTCACTGGAAATTTCAGTAAGTAATCCCAGTTTTATTATTTTTTATTTTACTTAATATTTCTTGATTTTCTATAGCTAACTTCTATGCATATGTCAAAATCATATTTGACGTAGAAAACGTAAATGATGTAGAGAAGATGTCACTTAAAGAATTGCGTGTTAAAATTCGTACCGGTACGGGTAGTATACATTTGCAAAATCTATTTAATGGGGATAAAGCATTGGGCGATGTTGTTAATGAGACAATCAATAAAAATTTCGAACTCTTTACGAATGAAGTCATCGTACCCATTGAACGTGCATTAGAAAAGAAATTCTCGGCGATCACGAGTAATGTTGTGGGTTCCTTCACATATGATCAGCTATTTCCTGCATAAAAAAGGATAACTAAAAATTTAACACTTATTTAGTTAATATTAATATTAAACATTAATATGTTAATGTTAAAGTAAGTTAATATTAAACATTAAGTTAAAGTGTGTATAAAATAAAAATAATTTATTTTTGTTATGTTGCTCTGGAAAATTAATATATTCTATTAACTTTTGAATATTCGTATACATGATTCGTATGTAAAAATGTGATAATTTAATTAATTAATACCTTGAAATAATTTTTTTTTATTAATAGTTAAAGTATTTATGTAAAAAATAATCACAAATAATTATGTATAAAATTTATTTAATATAATTTTTAATTAATATTCGCTTCCATTTTTGGTAAGGTATTAAAATATATGATCTCCCTTTTTTTATTTTCAGTTATCATTTTTGCTATTTATATAAAATAATATATAATATTACTTTTTAATATAAAATAACAATAACTAAAATATAACAAATTTATAATCTGATCTCACTGCCGTATTAGCAAATATTGTGTGCCGCTGAAAGCAGGATAGTAAGTCAATTTTCAAACAATTTAACATCGATAATGCAGTTCAGATTAAAGAATGAATAGGAAACCGTTGCAACGGTTCACCAGCTTGAAAAAATTTAATAAACTCGTTTAATAATGAAATTCATTTGCTCAGTTCTCCTCTAACCTTTTTTGAGTGACGTTTGGTTTGTGGTCTGATTCAAAAAAAACGGTGTTCTTAAATTGCAGTTATAAATCTAAACAAAATCAATCAATCGAACACAAATTTTATTTGTTTCAATTGTACGTCAACTAAATATAATCAAAACATATGATAATTTATTATTTTTTCTGTGCATATTTTTATGTACCGGCAATAGTTGTGAAAATCGTGTACATCGTGAAAAAAAACTTTGCTTCACTTAATATAAAAATATTTTTATATTTATTTATAGTATTTCTGTGTCCAATTATAAAAAAAATAAATTAAAGTAATTCACTAATTCATAACTGAGTTAAAGATAAATTTGTTAAAGGTTTTAAAATTCTAAAATTTTTAAACCGATATACATATATAATAACGTAAACAAATGTAAATAAACTGCAAATGTTCTTTCAGCAGAGCAGACATTTTAACGAACAACAACGCTGCAGAGACTTGACACTCTTCAAGCAGACATTTTAATAGCAACCAGCGCTACAGAGACGCAACTTCGCTGCTAGCTTCGCAATACTAAAAAAAAAAACCACTATATATGCAGTTATGTGGCTATGTGGATAATCAAATATAAACTAAAAAAAACAAGAATTTGAGTTTTATGTGTTTTATCAACGGTTTTTGTGAAAAACTAATTAAATTTATTTTGTATTATTTTCACTAATTAAATAAAAATATAAATTAAATTAATAAAAATCTTATGACTCTTTTAAACTAAACCTAATGAATATTTTTGATATAATCTTTTTTAAAAAATGAATTTTTTCTTATTCAACAAATAAAATAAGGTAAGCTGTTTTTTTCTTTATTTTCAGTTAATTATTAATTTAAATTAAGAGTATGAATTTAAAAGCTGCATATGTTGTATCAAAAAAAATTTCCTATAAATATATATGTATATACAATTTTTTAATAAAAAATTGATAAAGATATAAAACATAACACCTTATTTCAATTTTATATTATAAAAAATAAATTATTTATTAATCATTTCTAAATAAAAACAACAGTGACAAAAAATGTTTTCAATCAGTAGTGAACTTTAAAAATATTTAATGTATTTAATATCCATACAAAAAAATTATTGTTTATTTATTTAATATATTTAAAATATATACAAATAAGTTATTGTTTACTTACAACATATTTATTATATGTAGTTATATGAAGTGTGTATAATGTTCATAAAAAATTTTAAAAAAAAATTTTATATTATATATAACAAATATACATATGTATGTACAGATGTATAAAATATGGAATAACATAACGAATTTCCTTTTTATTGTTTATTCAATTGCGCCTAGTTAAAAACAATAACTAATTAGCAATATTTTTATATCGGGGACTTAAAAAATTCGATATGAATCCTTATATATAATATTATAGTACTATGATTAATATTTATTTTTTTTATACTAAAACAATTGAATCCAAAATGTTCTTCAAGCAGTAGACAAGTCATATTTATACAATCAACGCTGCAGAGATACGGCGTCACTGCTTAGTTGTTGATCATTAAAAACGTAGAAATATAAATACATGTATTGTATTCTCCATGTTAAAAATAATCATCGATTTTGAAAAGCGGCCATTAATGAAACCTTTCTATGTTTTTGGTGATTACAATAGAAAATAAATCAAAATTAATATGCGTAATAAGCAAAGAAAAAAGATAAAAGTATAAATAAGAAAAATAAATTAAAATCAATATGTGTGACAAACAAAGATAATGAATGTTATTGTATTCGTGTCGCTTTTAAATATTCTATGATATTTCTAAGCCGACTATCAAGCATTTCGCAACAATAATTTGCAATCAGCACAATCCGCATTTTGTTGTTGCTAACTATTTCGTTTGTATCATATTAACAAAAATGTATATATTTAACAGAAATATATAAATTTAACAGAAGCAAGTAAATAAAAAATATTCATATGATTATTACTGCTGTTATGATGACGTTTTCAATGTTGTTTGCTCAACATAAAACAAAGAAAACTGTGTACTTGAAATTTTCTTAAAATTTCTGTTCTTTCAATTGTACTCCTAAAAACTGTTTTTTTTCATTTAATTTATAGATTGATCAGATAAAAGCTACGCGTTATTTATAATGTAAATCGTAGAAATAAATAAATAAAAAAAAAATTAATTTTAATAATTAAAATTTATTTATAGCAATTATTGGATAAACGAATTAAAATAATAAAAGTTATTTTTCAGAATAAAATAGAAGCAGATTAAACAACAAAATGCTATCAGATATTGTCAGAAAGAATATCAAAAGGGTAATTTCAAGGTTTTTATACTTGTTGACAATAGCATTAAAAACCATTTTTTCGACTTGTCTTTTTACATTTCACAAACCAATATAACAGTATAAATACGCACTCTTAAACGTAAAACAAAATTTCTGATAGCTTGTTAATTTTGAATATTGGTAGTTAGAATATTGATAAGTGTAGAAACTTTTCGCTCTATTTTTGTAAGAGTATCATAAGTAAGAATTTAACATATATCAGTAGTTCCAATTAGAAGAACGAGAAAAATTGTCATTCCGTACAATAATTTTTTGTACGCTATATACGCTTAATAGTTCTTGATATGTACTGTATTTGAAGTTTTTCACGTACGTCACATTATTTGTGTACTGTACAAAATACGAAGAATTATCAATAACAGCTGACTGAGATATTTCTATGTTTTCTGACGTTTGCTTGTTGCTGTTATTCGTTATTAACACATTTTAGTTGTTGCTCGTCGGTTGTGTTGTCGGTTGTGAAAAAAGTTTCAGTTAAAAAAATTCTGAATTTTTGTGGTATACTACGTGATAAAAGTTTATTTTTTTTTGTTCATTCTGAGCTTCAAAATAAATGCATAAGAAAATATTGCTAAGCAAAAATTTGTTGAAAAAAAAAATATCTCAAAAATGAACGAGCATCGATTCAACGATTTTAAAGATTGGGAGCTGATTCAGGAGCTCGGAACTGGCGGTTTTGGAGCAGTTTTGCACTGGCGGAATCGCCGCACCAACCAGGAAATAGGTAAGTGCATAAAATAATAAATTTTACTTTATGCCTTAATTTAGTTAATGTTGCGTTAATGAAGTGCAGTAATAAATGCTATTGCTGTTGTACGTACTAAAAGTATTTGTTGTTATTGTTTTGGAGCACTTATGATTCACAATTTTTTTTATACAGAAACAATTCTGAGAATCGTTTAAGTGTTTTTTTTACGCTATCCGCTGGCGAAATGATAATGTAAAGTATTACTTTGTTTGTATAACTATTTCTGGATTTGATTTTTAAAAAAAATTGAAAAAATATTGGCTATATTTACATCACCTGTGTTTGAAATAAATTCATTAAAGTTTTGCAATAATTTCTGTTCTATATTTTTAGTCACAGTTTCCTTCATAAAAGTTAAGTTCAATTTCAATGTCATTTTTGTTTATATCATTCGAGAAAATATAATAAAAGAAGTCTTGTATCAAAATGAATACTTTATTAAAATATATGTAACTTAAAATTAAATTAAAAGCAATCTTACGTGAATTTATATTGTGGATTATTTATTTGTTATTTATTATATATTTGAAATTTTTTGTTAATATTAATAATTTAATTAATAGTTCTCACAGACTGTGGGTAAGAATATATTTAAATCTCTCCCAGACTAAAATTCTTATATACATACATATATAAGTTATATCCATATACCCTCGGATAATGTTGAAGAAGGGTAAAGGCAGTAGCGAGGCGTCAGCTTTTTGGCAAGGTGTTTACAATTTGATCAAAACAGAATTCCAACTAAAACGTATTCCCCCTACTCCTGAGTTTTGTCCTTTCCACAAGCAAATAGCGTACAAGACCAACAAAACAATTTATTTAAATGTTCGCAGCCTGTGATCCATTGGTTTTTATGGTAAATAGCTGTAGGAAAACGGCGACTTATTACAGATTTCGGCATTTTTACATCAGGTACCAAATTCTTCATATCTGGAGTTGGTCTACTCATTTTATGAATTAAAACCTTTTTTTCAGAAGATCGTTTAAAAAAAGATATTTGAATCAAATCTTTAATCACACATTTATCTATTTCTAAATATTATTTTTCACTTAAAATTTCTTTAATACTTTTCTTTACTTTTACCATTTGCTGGTATAAAATTGCAATAATGACTTTGTTTTTGGTTTATTTCCAACCTCTACATAAAAGTAAGAAACTCTCAAGCGTTCATTTACTCTTTTACTTTGTATTTACTATGCGCGGTTCAGTTTTTTTACTGAACCATTTGCCCATATAAAACGGCAACCGTAACTTTGATTGTTTTTGCACGATTTGCATCAACTTGGAGTCCAGTTTAGTCGACTGAACCTCTAGTCAAATGTAAAGCGATTTTCGCACAGTCATTTCTTTTCTCTTTTGTATTTATTTTGCATAACATTGAAGGTTCACTTTTTTTATTGAACCGCTTGCACGCATTAATTTTACGTACATGTTTTGCGGGGCTTGTTTTCTCTTTTATTTTTATATTTGTTAGTATATTTTGTGTTTATTCAATATTGAATATAGTCGCAATGTGAATGCTATTCCATTTGCATGCTTTGTAAGCAGCGCGGTGGAGTTTTTATTCTGAACCTTAGTATATTTTAAGAGGAATGTGTTTTCTTTTTATTAATTTTATTAATTATAAGTAATGTTGGGTGTAACTAACATATGTATGTGTGATTTTGTTTGTATTGTACGTTTTGTGTTTATGTTAATCTGTTTGGAAAAGCTATTATAAAAAATGTTAAGTAGCAAAATAGCGAGATTATTTACCTAATAAAAAGAATGATCTAAAAAGGAAGCTTTGTTAAGGTGTTCAGTGAACACTCTGAACCATTCGACGCCTCGCCTCTGGGTAAAGGTAATGTGGAACTGCATAAATAAGAATTATTTGTTATTACACTTTTAATAAGAAGTGTAGGTATATCTGTTTTTTTTTTCTTTTCTTTTTTTTCTTTTCTTTTTTTTCTTTCTAATAAAGCCCAGGACTAACGTCCATTTTGCGCGAAATATTTGTCATGAAAATCTAACTCTAACAAAACAAACTCATAATGTTAAGAATTTGTAGAATACTTTTTTATAAAGAGTTTTATGTCTATTTTTCGTGGAAAATAGATGCTAGTCGTAGGCTTAAAATGAAAACATGAAAAGAAAAAGAAATACGGTCTTAAGATATGAAAACACATTACTGTTTATGAAATATTTTTTTAAAAATAATTTTGTTTTTTTACGGGCTAATCGGTCAATAGTTAAATAATAAACATTTTAAAATATATTTATTTGTTTTTAATAGATTTTACTTTTACCGATATATCGACTGATAATTTACCGATCGATAAAATCGGTATAGGTATCGGTAAAAATAAAACCTTTTAAAAACAAATAAATATTTTTTGAAAACTGTAAAAAAACAAAATTATTTAAAAATTTTTTTTTTTGGTCATTAAAACAATAAATTAATGAAATATTTATTAAATATCTGCAGTGTTTTTTTCATATACTTTTTATTTTTCAACTTTCTTCTGTTTAAAATCTAAACAATAATCTACAGTTCAAAGACGATTTTCCAGTTTCAGTATTAATTATTTGTCGTCATGTTGTCATTGGCCTGCTTCTAAGCTGGGTTCCATGGAGGTTCCATGATAGTGCTGCGTGTGGGATATTGTCATAGGACCTGCGCAAGGTATGGCCTATCCAACCATATTTTCGTTTTTGAATTTCAATATTAATAGACATTTGGTCAGTTTACCTCCAGAGTTCTTCTTTTGTTATCATTCTTGGGCACAATATCTTCATTATGTTTCGCAGGCAGCGGTTGGTGAAAGTTTGAAGTGTCTTTCTAATCTCCTCCCTTAATATTCAAGTCTCTGAGAGAATACTTTCCAAGTAGATAATGCTCTCATATCATTCACATCTTCGCTGCCAATTGTAAAGCTGGCTGTATTATTGGATTTTATGCGCATAGATTCAGTTTTTCTTATATTTATTTTGAGACGGTCTTTCGAGGATTCGTTATGCAACTGGGTCAGCTTTGACTGCATATGTTGGTATTTATGTGAGAGCACGACGATGTCATCTGTGTATTCTATTCAGATAGAATAATTTCTATACCGATGTGCAAATGTCACATGTACAGATTTTTTAGGGTTCACTTTTATTTTCTATTTCTTTTAGCCATGTCGTTATCTGACATTGAGAGGCTCTTGTTGCAATTATCACTGTGTCATCATGTGGGTAGCTAGATTTACGTTATTTAGAATGTGACTAGCTAACTGTGAGTAGAGTGTAAAGTATGGGGAAACGGTATAGGCCCAAGGAAGGATAGGCCCCAATACACTCTTGTATTGATTACGTAAATATTTGATTTTTATAAATTTTATTTGAACCAATATTTCGACTATATTCTATAGTCATCCTCAGAGTACCAAAATGTTCTTATAATATAACCAGAATTTAATATAAATCACAAAGAAATAATTATATAATACATTAATATTAAAACATGAATTATAATATATAGGAAATAATTATACAATACATAAACAATAAAATATAAAATACATAGATAGAGGAGTGATATATTTATCCTCTTCAGGATTTGTTGAAGATGTTTTTATACACGTCAAGAGCACAGTGTTTTATCAGTTTCATAATTGTATCAGACGTCACTAATTGTTTGTAGAATATAAAGCATATCTAGAGAAAAGCGTTTTTGTTGGTTAATTTCTTGGTGTAACTTTTTTACATTTTCTAAATTCGGGTCGAGCGTTGGACGTAATATTATTTTTTATACTTCACGCTGTGTTTATATCCAGCTATACGCGTATTTAATTTGTTTTTTGTTGTACCAACATATATTTGGTTGCTTATCTTGGATCCATCACTTTCACATTTGATTTGATAAACCGCATTGGATTTATCTATAGTGTTAATTTTCGATTTGGTGTTTGAATATAGTATCTTCATTGTGTTTTATGTTATATGGTATATGTTACTTTATATTGTTGTTTGTCATATATGTATATTGAATGCTGGAATTTGAGATTAAAGTTGAGGGACGTACAGAACACTTATAATTTTGGTTATTTTGATTAAGTTGTTGAGTTCTGCTTAGTTCCAACATTTTGTCGTGCCCGTAACACTCTACATAAGGTGGGCCTAAGATAGTTCTTTAAATACCCTTTATTACTTTTAAAATATACTCCATATTCCAGCATTTTATAAAGTTTTTAGAAAAGAAATCTATACTATTGCTAATTTAAGTAATCTTTTCACAACTTTGCTCATGATTCATTTTGTGATTATCAGCAGAATTGAAATTATATTATATTATATTATATGCTAATATTAAATACATACATATAATGGAATTATACATATGTATATACATTTGCATATAGTAAATATATACGCGTATCGACATATGTATATGTATGCGTGAGCGGTATATGTATATATATTTATCACTTAAAATATGTTGCACAGTTCATAAATAATAATAAGTGAAAAGTAAGTATTATGTATATATGTATGTGTTTATGCCAGATCGCTGATCAGAAGTGTAACACCCAAGATAAGAACATTAGGAAGTCAATCAGTAAAATGTATGTGATCTGACGTTCTTGGATTCAAATTTCATTTACAAATCGCCAACTCAACAAATTTTTTAAAATTTTGTTTATAAGTTTGTGAAGTGGTTTGCCATAGAAATACCAACGATTGCTAAGGCATTTAAGATGTTTTAATAGAAAATAGACTACAGCAGTTATCGATAAATGTTTATCGTTTAAATGCCTTTTTGCTCATAAAGACGCCATACATTTAGTCTTGATTACATGCGATGCTCAGTTAAATGCGTTCAGATAGACTCTAAATTTTATTAATTTTTTTAATTAACTGCTGACTGACTTCTTTATTACTATGGATTGAGATAACCACCTTTAATTGCAAAGGCTTTTTAACTGTAACAGAAATAGGTAATATTTTCTTTTAC